AAACAAATCGTTTAAATAGGGATACAGGTGGACCCATTGCAACAATGAGATGTACAAGTCGTTATGTCCAAAACGAACTTTACAACTTTGGTGGGGTGGGGTGGTGAGGATTGGGTGAGGGAACGAGGGGGGAGGGAGAAAGATGGGAAGGGATGAAAAGGGGAAACAAAGGAGGAGGCTACAATGCTTGATAAGAAATGTACTTATTATCTTGCCCATGTAATTTTAACCCCTCTGTACAGTATTTTCACAAAAAAAATAAATAAATTATGCAGTACAGCCAGGCACCGGTGGCTCATGCCTGTAATCCTACCTACTCAGGAGGCTGAGAGCTTAGGATCGAGGTTCAAAGCCAGCTCGGGCAGGAAACTCCGTGAAACTCTTATCTCTATCTAACCACCAGAAAACCAGAAGTGGTGCTGTAGCTCAAGTGGTAGAGCACTCACCTTGAGCCGAAGAGCTGAGGGAAGCACTCAGGCCCAGAGTTCAAAGCCCCACGACCGACTAAATAAATAAATAAAATTATGCACTGAGATCTCATTTTATTTGGAGTTTTTCTCATGACCGATGTCTCTTTCTATAATTATCACTGTCCCTACCTTTCCTCTATTCTTTCCATAACTCTCTGACATAGTTACACTGTACCCCAGCTTCTCTTAGGAAATGGTTCTGCTAGATAGATATTCTATATACATATGTATAATTTATATAATTATATATAATATAAATTATGATACATAATTTATATATAATATTTATATACAAGATAATATATAATTTTATATGTATAAACAATATAACATATATAATGTATATTATATATTGTATATAACATACAATATATAACATATATATGTATATATATTATATATACATATTATTAATGTGGTTAATTACCTTCATGTCTTTGCACACCTCTTGCTTCTTGAAGGGCCAGTCTAAATAGTTACTTAATGTTGCAGTTTTCCAAATGTCAAACTTCCCTACTTCATACCTTCCACTCATTACCTTGCACAGTTTCATCATTTTTGCTACATAGACAGTTTTATCATCACCTCCTAGTGCATTATTTATTTGGTTATGATGGTTTTTATTGTTATTTACTCTCAGCTTTCTCTCTTTAGAAAGTGTTTCACCATTTTATCCCAAAAGTGTAGAACATTTCTTAGTACAGAGTGAAAGCCTCAAAAGTATTTATTGAGTGGATATAAGAGTTAGTGAAGTAGTTAGCACAAACTCAATTTTTTTTTTTTTTTTTGGTCCGGTCATGGGGCCTGAACTCTGGGCCTGGGCGCTGTCCCTCAGCTCTTCAGCTCAAGGCTAGCACTCTAACACTTGAGCCACAGTGCCACTTCTGGCTTTTTTCTTTTTGCTTGTGTGGTACTGAGAAATCGAACCCAGGGTCTCATGCATGCAAGGCAAGCGCTCTACCACTGAGCCACCTTCCCAGCCCCAAACTCAATTTTTATATTCTCTCCCACTTAGAATTCTGAATTCCCATTACATTTCTTATCTCTTGACATCTTTCCGTCATACTCTCCAAACATGAGTTGATGAGTACTTGGAATCTGCAGAGTTTTTCTCCTGTCTTAGTATTTTTATTTACATTATTCCATTAGCTAATAATATTGTCTCGTCCTTCATTTTTCAGCTTAATCTTGTCTTCTATAAACATTTTATTGTTTTTTTTCTCCAGAAAACTCATTTTCTATTAATTATAGTTTTTGGTTTAAATGTATGTCATACATTTGTACTGGATTTTATTGCTAAATGGGAGTAAAACTGCCTCTGTTTCCTAATGAAGAGCCAAGATCCTCTTATGACTAGGGTGCTGTTAAAAGCTACAATTAGCTGGGCTGGGAAGGTGGCTTAGTGATAGAGCACTTGCCTTGCATGCATGAGGCCCTGGGTTCAATACCTCAGCACCACATAACCAGAAAAAAAGCCAGAAGTTGTGCTATGGCTCAAGTGGTAGAGCACTAGCTTTGAGCTGAAGAGCTGAGAGACAATGCCCAGGTGGAGTTCAGGCCCCACGACTGACAAAAATGCTATTAGCTGTGCTTCAGTGAGTGAATGTGGAATAACATTTGGTCAAAGCATCATTACTGGCCCATATATGTAAGAGGTGTAAAGCATTTAGTAGCAGTTATGAGGAGTACACATTTAAATGAGAATATGAGTTCCCCATAGGTGGTGCCATTTTCAAGCTACAATTTAGCTGAAAAATAGTCTAAACCTTGTTACTCTTCAGTGTTACCAAAAATCATCAATGTTAAGTTTAAGTTTCCATTTTTAGTCCTTTTACATATTTTTAGATCTCAGAAACAGTACTAAAAACATATTAGAATGGACCATCTTTGTAGCAAATTGTGAATATAAAGTATTGATTATTAACATAAATTAATATGAATACTCTAGGAAGGAGCCATTGATTTCTCTCAGGAATAAATTGGAAATGATCAATCATTGTATTAGAGGTATGGCACTGCACCATTTATCAGATGCTAATTGTCATGGTGGGCTAAGATTGCCCTTTTAGCTTAGAAATACAGTGGCCCTCAGGTAAAGTAACTTGAATCATTACAATAATGAATGTGTCTTCAACCACCTTTTGGAGCTTCATTACTCAATATTGATGTTAAGGTTTCGTTTAAGAGCTTCTAGTATTTTATAATTTCATGTGGCTTTAGCTTTTTTTTCTCATGAGTGATCAAGACTTAAATCTTACCAATGTTTATATAGTGATTCAGAAATCTAAATATGGATAAATAACGTGAGAAATCAGTTTATAGTTTTACAGTATATCAGACCTGAATTATAATCTCTTAATTTCTGACTTAATTTTAAACTTTTATATGAAATTGGATTCTCCAGTATGTAAAATTTGCCTGTATGTGGTTATCTTTACAAACACACTTCTTAGCCTTCTATGTGACACTTTAGTTTTATATTTGTGCTGCAAAATTTTATTCATCCAACAAACATTTGATCATATATATTGGTGTGACCTAATAATCTGAAGGTTTTACTACCCAGTTTATATATATATATATATATATATATATATATATATATATATATTATGTATAGTCTGTTCTTCAACTCATGATCTTGATGTTTAGATGTGAATCATGCATGGTTTGATGTTAATGTATATGTTATATTAGGAGCCAAAATTTTTGTATTTTTGGAAACATGCATATACAAAGTAATATGTATATGACAGATATATATTCAGACCAATATTGGATCCATAATTGCTTAA